ACCAGGCGGTTCAGGCTGGTGCCTGCGGCCGTCGTGGGCCTCTCCTCCTCCGTCCCCGCCGCCCCCGCCGCCGCCGGGGTCCAGAGGCGGCTCACCTCCTCCCGGGGGGCTGGGGCTCGGCGGGCGCGGGACGGTGCCCTTTGGGGATTCCCGCATTCCCGAAACACCTACCGCCCAGGGAAGAGACCCCCTCCCAGTCATCCTGCGGTGAAAGCCACACAGTGTCCCCACTCCCAACACCCCCAGTATCCCTGATACCCCACACTGTCGCCCCACTCCAGGCCCTCACCTCCTGTGTTCTAGCTGACACACCCACACTGTCTTCCCCCTGTCCTCAGTTTGAACTCCCACCTTTCTCACAGCCCCTGTACCTGGGCTGACACCACTGCACTGTTTTCCTGCAGATACACCAAACCCTCTGAGATCTTCACCCCAATGGACTGGGCTGCCAGTTCAAAAGAAAAAGGGCCCTGGAGCTTCTCGGCCAGGAACAGGAGACCATCTTGAAGGAGGGGAAGACAGAGAAAGGGTGCTATGAGGGACTAGATGTCCCCACAAATCCTCCCGACCTGGGTCTTGGAGGGAAGCAGCAAGGTGTTGGAGAGGGCAAACTTACATGAAAGTTTCTTCACTCAATAGGGTTTAAAACTCCCTCCCCAGTCCACCCGGAAAGCATCCAGAACACAAACAGCCCTCCCAGACCCTCCTGAATCCCCTCACCCAGATAGGCCCCCCAGTCAGGATCCAGTCCCTGGCTGCTGAGACAGCCATGGGCCACGTTGAGGCAGAAGCCCCGGCAGGGTGGCAGCGAGGGGACACCCCGACAAAGAGGACAGCCGGTCAGACGCATCACAGCCTGCCTACAGCCTTCGGACAACGGCATCTGAGGGCAGACAGCAGGACTATGTCATTCACAAACACAGTAGCTGCACTTACACAAGTTTGGTGTTGGACAGAGCGAAATCAAATACATACTCCACCCCACCTTCCCTAGGCTCTCCGTGGAGAGCTAGATGTGAATGTCTAGGGTTGCTGACCCCATGTGGCAGCAGGTAAGACCTCAAAACTGCCAAAGATCTGATGAGAGAGGTTCCTAGGGGCCCAGGCTATAGATACCGCTTCTTGAAGGGTATGGAAATTAGAGAGACAGTGGGAAAAGGGGTCTGAGAAAAGGTTCAAAGAGAAGAGTGAGCACATTGTGGCTGGGAAGAGAGGAGACTGGGGATGCAGGAGGTAAGGCTGGGAGGTCAGGGAGAGAATGGGTGGTGAAGAGAGGGCTTTAAAGGCCAAGGCAGGAATCTGGCCTTCAGTAGCAGGGGAATGGGGAGACACTGGGCGGGGGGGGGGGGGGGGGGGG